TAAAGAAGAAGAGCCTTGGTGAGAAGAACTGACACAGTGGCTGCAACAGAAGGTGAAACATGCCAATGACTGTGAGTGTAGATCAGGACTAGCCAGTGTTTGCTTCTAAGTGGGGTGGCTGTAAATTTTAACCAGCTGGACAGCACCTAACAGCAGAAGCATATCTTATGCTACTTAAATTAGTTCAGGCTGCTAGATTCACCCCAACCCCCCTCAATGTTTAAGACTAGTTATCATATTCCTGCACTTTGAAATTAATTGCCCAGTGAGAATTATGGTTAATAAACAATCATTTTATAAAAACAGAAAAAAAATATCAGTAATGCAGAACATATACAAAAGTAAATGTAGCTAAAATCTCTGTCTGCTTTTTAAGAACATCATGCCAAACATTTTGCTACTATTTTGAGTATCCTTGAGTTAGGATTTTTGTAACATTTTTAAATTAAAGTATAATTTCCTTTTTATTTCCTTTCCCATGAGCTGTTTTCCTTCAGCCTTTAAGGAATCAAATCCTTACAAGGGCTTTGGTAGAGGTCTGAAGGCAACACCTGCAGGTCTAAATCTGGGTGGGGATGTTCTGTCTTTCCAGGCTTCATGAGAACAGTTTCTCATCACCTGGCTGTAAATGGTACAGCTCACACAATAGCACAGTTTTACACAAAGTTTAGGAAACACATATGCATTAGCGATAGTCTGGCAATGACCCTGGTGGCATCTGCCTTTACTGTATTACAAATCATGAACTTAATTGCTTTGTCTTTGGGCACACAGTGGGCGCTGTTTGTGCAACAAAATGCTGCACGCAGCGGTGACCCTTTTGGACACGACTGTTGTTTCTCTTTTTCTTTCTCTTGGAAGTGAGGACCTGAAAGAGGATTTTCATAACTTTTAAGAAGAAATTATCTCACAGAGAAAGCATGACAATTTATAAACAAGAAATAGGATGTTGGGCTGCAAAATGGACATTAAGTATTTTAATAAAGTAGCCCAAACTACTTTTGAAAACAATCCTCCACTGGAAATAGGACTGACTTGCTCTATTAATTAAATGTTAAAGTTCTTGGAAACAGACTTAATATGGTAGCTGAACCTTAGTAGTTACATTCTGCTTTCCTGTGTTTTCACTTGGGGGATTTCTTAGTGCATATCTTATTTTCTCCTTGTTTTATGTAGCACACTCCACTGCGTTTCTCTTCTTATTTTAGTCCCTTGTTCTCTCATATCCTGGTGACCCTTAAGCCGTAAAGTCAAATGTGCTTTTCCTAGTCAATACTTTACTCTAATCCACTTACTCAAGTTTAAAATTCCTTTCTCAGCTCACTAAGAATTTTTTCCCTTGTGACAGACTTTCTTGTAATATTAAATTCATGGTAGAACTGTGTGTAAAGTTTAGGTTGTTTGAAAACATTAATATTAGAGGGATGGATTAATACTGAAAATTTAAAATGTGAGAAACAAAATATTAATTTTATGTGTTTCTTCTTAACAAGGTCACCTGGAGAATACTTCTCACATGATAATACTCTCTAAAAGACACTTGGTCTGAAAGTTTTAGTTAGAATAGGAAGTCTAAGCATTTTATAATTTGTTGAAGCATGAAACAGAACCATTCTCTGTCTTTGGAACAGCTTTCACATTGTGCGGCTTGTGATGAGTGTTACAATTAAGAAAATGTGTGACAGGTAGAAAACAAGATGATAGCTTGGCGCTAATTTGTACTCTCTGTTCACGATCTAGCTATTCTTCAGAGAATATTGAATCCTACAATTATCGGAAAGGTAGTGTTAGACCATGTGTGTATTTCTGAAATGGAAATGAATCACACTGCTCTATAGCTCAGGTATTTCTCACATGAGTAAATCATATACAGAACTCTAACTGCACATTCATTCACATATTCATTTAGAGATATGCTGAGGGGGTGTTAGCCACTCTCAGACATTGAGGAAAATTATCAGTAAGTAAACAAAATTGTCTTTCCTCATGGTGCTTTAACTCTAATGTAGTTCAAAGCAGTCCTTGAATTAGAGTAGTAATTGCTGGTCAAAGAAATTAGTCAGGGCACATCTAAGGGAACTATGCTCTTTATATCAGAAAAAAAAAGAAGAAGAAGAAAGAAAAAAGATACTCAGTTCTGTTGCAGACCAAGGAAGCATGACATGGGCAGAGTGGCAGGCAGTCCAAAGTAGTGATGTTGCGTTGTTTGGGATTTTTGCCCCCTTGAAAGTAAAACATTTTTACTAAGGTAATATAATATAACCTTGTAGTGTAACAATTTCCTTTGTCACAATTTGTAAAACATACCACTTCTGGGTTAATATTAATGAGATGAAGTGTTTAAAGCAAAATTTGTTGTTATTGTTAGGTGCTGTTGAGTCAGGTATGACTCATAGCAACCCTATGAACAAAAGATCTGAACCCAGTCCTGTCCTTGGCCATCTTCTCACTTCCTGACACCCAAGAGTCCATTGCAGTTACCCTGTCAATCCACTTGGTTGAAGGTCTTCCTCTCCTTCACCAGTCCTCCACCCTTCCTAACATCATGTCCCTCTCCAAGGAATACCACCTCTTAGCAATATGTCCAAGTGTGTGAGGCGAAGCCTCATCATTCTTGCCTCCAAAGAGCACTCTGGCTACATCCTCTCCAAGGCATATCTATTCATTCTCTTGGCTGTCCATGAAATGTTCAGTGCTCTTCTCCAACACCACAGCTCAAAGGCATCAATTCTTTTTCTGTCATGCTTATTCATTGTCCAGGTCTCAGATGCATAGCTAGAAATCGGAAAGACTGGCCTGAATCAGACGCACCTTAGTCCTCAAACTGACATCACTACTCCTCAATAATTTGGAAAGGTCCCTAACTGCAGATTTTCCCATTGCAATGTCTCCTTATTTCCTGATTGCTCAAACCAAAGGTGATAATTGTGGAGCCAAGCAAGGTGGAACTGTTGACAGTTTCAATCTCCTCTCCATCATGACACTGCTTATTGGTCCAGTGGTAAGAATTTTTGTTTTCTTGGTATTGAGACACAGTCCATTCTGAAGGCTACATCCTTTGATCTTCTTCAACAAGTGTTGCAAGTATGTTGTTTTTTTAAAGTGCTCTATTTTATGTTGGGAAAAAGTATGAATAGTACTATGTGATGATGCTTGGGCCATGCTTCAAAAGCACCTGTTAATGTAACATACATCTTGACAATGAGCAACTATGTGTAATTTAAGTGAATCGCATGAAAGAGATAAACTTTGTAGTTTAAATAGCTTCCATTCTCCATTAAGACCGGGTGAATATCAGATACGTAGTTAGATGCTAAACCAAGGAATAAAATAGTTGTAATGAGGATTAAGGGAATAGATAGAAATATAGAAGCTCCCAAAGTGCCTCTATCTTTTCTCTATCTAAAACATGCTATAACTTCAGGCCAATAATTTAACTTTTTTAAATACTAAGCTATATTGATATGATGGTAATAATACTAGCTTTTTCTTGTTGAGGATTATGGAGTTAAGAGTTTATTCTAAGTGGCTTTCATAACCATTGTTTGATTTTGCCATGTGGATGGGTGGGAATATGTGAACAGGGTATGCTAGCCTATCCACAAGGGGATTGGCTAGTCTCACCAGTACACAAGAGGGATGGCTAGTCATGCCAATAGACTGAGCAAATCAGCCCTGCCAGCAAAGAAGAAGCAACAGAAGCAAGAGAATGTTGCACATCCTTCAGGCCCAGAAATTCTTGATCCATCTACACCTAGGGCAGCAGCAGCCAAAGCCACACCGGAGAACCAACATGAGATGGAGCTACCTTGGGACTGCCTCCCTCCACAGATAGAACCAGTACTAAGCTAAGAGCCTTTGCCCAAGTTTGTTGGATAACTGGTGGGTGGGAGAGAAGGGGAAGCCAATATTGGAGGACTAAAAACTTAGTAACACTGGCTTAAAATTGTGAAGCTGAAAGCTTTGGTATCTGCAAGCACATTTTGGAAGCTGTCCTGACTGTATTCTGCTGCTGTTGTTGCTGCTGCTGTTCTTGTTGTTGTTGTGTGTTGTCAAATTCCCTGCAACTTATAGTGACTCTATTTACTATACCTCCGAACCCTGCTCTATCCTGAGCCAATTTATTGTCTCTGACACACCTACCTCCTTTACCCTAGTCACTGAGTCTATCTAGTTCATCCTGGGTTTTCCTCTCCTGCACTGTCCCTCCACCTCCCAAGCATGATGTCCCTCTCTAAGGACTGGTCCCTCCTTATAACATGCCCGAAGTATGTCAGACGAAGCTTCAGAATCCTTGACTCCAAGGAGAAGCCTAGTTTTATCTTTTCCAGAATGAACCTGTTCTCCTGGAAGTCCAAGTATATTAAACACTCTTCTCCAGCACCACAACTCAGAGGCATTGAGCCTTCTTCTAGCATCTTTAGTTATTGTCCAGCTCTCTGATGCATGGCAAATAATTGCAAAGGCCATGACCTGGATCAGGTACACCTTAGTCTCCAGACTGACATTGGAGATGTCCCTGACGCCAGACTTTCCCAATGCAATTCATCTTTTGATTTCCTGGCTGCTGGTACCAGGAGTGTTGATTGTAGAGCCAAGCAAACTGAAGCTATTAACAATCTCAGTCTCTTCACTATCTATCATGATGGTACATTCTGCTACTAAACAGAATTATAACTTTTTAATTTTCCTAATATGGTTCTTTGTGATCTGTGATTTATCACATTGGATTTTGGACCCAGCAAAACATTAAGATTGCTATTGAGATGAGTAGAAATAGGTACAGGAACATAGGGACATGTTTGACTTCCTTGGAATTTCTTTTGTGTTGTTGATGCTGTTGACAGGAACAGTTCCCCTTTCTGAAGTCAGCAAGGGTCAGACGTGGCTGTCCCCACATAGCCCTTGCTTTTTTTTTACAAGGTTTGAATCAGTGAATGCATGTTAAAATATCCTTAAAATCCCTTACTGCTATTTCTGCTTTCACTTTGATTGCATAGGTCACCATGATTCATCCTTTGGATAACCCCTTACCTCATCTTCCTGTTCCCCGTCCAATTTGCCATAAAGATCCCAAGTAGGGGAGTTGGCTATCCTTTGACATGTTGAGAAATGTTAATTTACAATGCAGATATTGCTGGTAGGTGCTATTGAATTGTCTATTACTTACCGTGTCCTTATGAACAACAGATTTGAACCTTGCCCTGTCCTTACTTCCTACCTGCCGCTCCCGTCTCTGATGTGCTCAAGCCCATTGTTAAAGTCACTGTTAATCCATCTCATTGAAAATCTTTCTCTTTTTCACTGACCCTCTCCCTTTCCCATCCTACTGTCTTTTTCTAAGTACTGGCCCCTCCTAATAGCATACCAGAGATGTAAGATGAAGTTTCTCCATTCTTGCTTTTAAGAATCACCTTGATTGAACTTCTTCCAAGACAGATTTGTTGATTCTTTTGTCAGTCATCCAGATATTCAGTAGTCTTTGCCAACATCACAATTCAAAAACACCAGTTCTTCTGTTGTCCTTATATTTTGTCCAACTTTCAGATGCATAGGAAGCAATTGAAAATGCCATGCCTTGTATCAGGTTTACTTAGTCTTTAAACTGAAATTGTTGGTCTTTAGCACTTTAAAGAGGCCTTCACAGCATATTATCCCAATACAACACATCATTTGATTTCTTGACTGTTGTTACCACAAGTGTTGATTGTGAATCCAAGTAAAAGAATATCATTGCCATCTTAATATCAGTCTTTTCTCCATCTGCAATGATGTTGCTTATTGCTCCAGTAGTGAGCATTTTTGTTTTCTTGATGTTAAGATATAGTCCATATTGAAAGCTGTAATCTTTGCTCTTCTTAAGTAAGCGCTTTAAATCTTCTTTACTTTCTATAAACAAAGTTGTGTAATGTGCATAACACAGGTTGTTGATCAGTCTACAATCTTGAGGCTATGTTTATCTTAATATACTCAAACTGTTTGCATTTAATAAGAATGTGTGACTCCATAATCAACTTTTACAAGACTCAGTCTTAAGAAATATGTCCTCCCCCCACCTCTTCCAAAGCTGTGTGGTTTGAATACAAACCCTGACACTCAGACCTGTCTGGGGAGAGAGTTCTGAGTAACCAGAAGAGTGAGATCCGAATATGTCTAGCATAAAAGTTTACCAGAGCAACCACAACTACACAATACCATAAAGCAATTTGTCCATCAGGCACACTCCTTTCATAAAATTAGAATTTTGAGTGGACCACTCTGCATTGTGGATTCCAATTTTAGCTTTGTATTTCCCTTTTCTACTCCTGTTATGGCCATATGTCTTAAGGAATGGATGGAGTCAACATAGCATACTTGCTTTTGTTGACACTGTCCATGGTCCTGGTGCAAGCAAGAATTCATGAAGCTGTGGTAGAGGGGTGCATCTCTTTCTCTCTCTTCTTTCTCTTTGTATTGTACCACACTGCAGTTCTTTCTGTATTCTCGGAACTGAAGGTACTGGTTAGTAAGCATTTTATTTGGAAAAATAGCCCCCCTCCCTTTTTTAAACTAAGGTTCATTCTTAGTATTGACCGAGTACAAGATGGCTATTTGGGTAAAGTTTTCCTTTTGGTCATGTCTGCAGAGTTTCTCGAGCAGGGTTAGAAGGTCAGTCATTTAATGATGTAGAAGAAAAATCTGACTTTACTTGTCAACACACAAGTATTACTTTGACATTTCACTCCATATGTAGTTTGATATAATGCATTGTTTTTCTTCTGATAGTCGACTACAGTGGCTCCTTTAGGTTTCTGGAAACTTTAGGCATTGATAGTGTCTATACGCCACATGATTTGGAAAGGGGAGTAACTTAGATACAAGGGCAGCCACAGACCACAGCACGAAGATGTGTTTTTGCTGGTGGCATGCTTCAGACACAAATTGGGGAGCAGAGCTAATGTGTAACTTCTTAGTAATTGCTAAGTGAGAAATCTTACCTGCCCTGGTTCAAGAATGTTTGCTTAAACTTTCCCTATCTAACCCTTGGGAATCATTCTGTCTGCCACTGAGAAGTAAAAGAAAACTTCAGAGGTATGACCAGCAGGCAGGCATACATGTGACTTTTGGCATACAAGCTAATCAACACCTGTTTACAAGAGTCACTTAACACTTGCAATATTCCTCTGTATATAATAAATACTGTATGTGATAATCATACCACATCCACTGCCATTAAGTTGATTCCAACTCTTGGCACCCCACAATACATTTCTGAGGCTGTAAATATTAATGGGAGCAGAGTGCTTTGTCTCTCTCTCGTCATCATGTCTGGTGCATGCCAAGTGCCCACCTTTTAGTTTGCAGCCCAACCAGTAACCTATGAAACCTCTGTAAATTTAATACCTCTATAGACAAGGCTTTCATCGCTGCATTAATGCCCTCCCCCTCATTTTCCATGTTTCGTGGCATACTGAAGATGTCTGTTGTACTTGGTGGTAAGGAGTTGTGCTGCCAACCCAAAGATACATAGTTCAAATCCACCAGCAGTCTCCTCCTTTGCCATTTCCAGCCTCTAAAAAACCACTGGAAGGCCAGTTATGAGTCAGTTACAATTTGATGCTATGGCACTTTACTCCCCAGAATGACGTTTACCTCCTCTTTAACACTTTGAAGAGGTCTTTTGCAGCAGGTTTGCCCAATACCATGTCATAAGTCATTTAATCTCTTGACTGTGGCTTCCACTGTATTGATTGTAGAAGCAAGTAAAATGAACTCCTCACAAATTTGAATCTTTTCTGTTTATCATGGTGCTGCTTATTGGTCTAGTTGTGAGGATTTTTGTTTCCTTTGTATTGAGATGAAACCCATACTGAAGACTTTCTCTTCATCAATGCATGCTTCAACTCCATGCTGCTTTCAGAAGGCAAGGTTGTGCTGTGTATCACTGGTTATTAATGATTGTGCCTCCCATCCTGATGTTGTCTGTGTCTTTTGCATGTAGTCTGGCTTTTTAGATTATTTGCTTGCCTGGTAGAGTGAATAGATATAACCCTGACACAATCTATTCCTAATTTTAAACCGTGCAGTATCCCCTTTGCTCTGTTTGAATGACTGCCTCTTGGTCTTTGAACAGTTTTTCCATGAACACAGTGATACATTCTTGCAATCCTCTTTTCACTGTTATCCATAATTTCTGTATCCACATGATTGAAATCCTTTTTTGTAGTCAGATAAACACAGGTAAACATCTTTCTATTATTGTCTGCTCTTAGGCAAGATCCATCTGACTTTCATGTTATGTCATCTTCTGAATCTGGCAATTCTCTACCAATGTGCTGCTGCAATCATTTTGCTTTTATCTTCAGTAAAACCTTACTTGTTTGTGATATTAATGCCATTATATGATAATATCCACATCCTTTTGGGCCACCTTTTCTTGGACTGGCACTGATAGGGATCTCTTATATCCTGTTATCCAGGTCTTTCAAATATTTTTTTGTAGCAACAAGGACAAGTGAGTGCTTTCAGTGACCCATCCATCTACTGAAGTGATATTTTATCAATTCCTCAAATGGTATTTAATCAATTCCTGGAGGCTTGTTTTTCCATTAATGCCTTCAGGGCAGCTTGTACTTTCTCTTTCAGTACAATTAGATGTTGATCATATGGTCCTCTTGAAATAGTTGAATACTGACCAATTTGTTTAGTTACAGAGACTCTATATTCCTTCAGTTTTCTTCTGATGCTTCCTCTGTTCAGTATTTTCTCTGTAGAAACCTTAAATTTTTTCCTTCAGTGTTTCAGTGTGGGAAACGTCAAGTGTGTCCTCCCCTTTTGTTTTCTAACTCCAGGGTTTTTGGTTTTTTCCCCATGTTTCATAATATTGCTTTGTCTTTTCTAGCCACCTTCTAAAATCTTCTGTTCAGTTTTCTTTAGCATTTCTTCCATTTGCTTTAATTACTTTACCATGAAGAGCTTGTTTCAGAGTCTGTCCTGGCATTCATTTTGCACTTTTCTTCCCTTCCTTCTTGTTCTTTTATTGACGTTTGTCTTTCTTTATGTCTGTTCCATTCCACAGCTTGTCTGAATTGCTCTTTAGCATTCAGTGGGTCAAGGTCATTGCTGAAATGACCTCTGTATTCATGTGTGCACTTTGACTCTTAGGGACTTGTTTTAATTTTCTTTAATGTAGGCTGGAACTTCCATTGAAAAATTGATAGTCTTTTCCACAGTTGATCTTGCTCTGACTGATGACATTGATCTTCCCATCTTCTTTTTCCACATATATGGTTGATTTGATTCCATCTGGTGAAGCCCATATGTCTTGTATGTTGTTTATAAAAAATATATTTGTGAAAAAAATATAGACCCCTAGTCTTGTAAAATTTTTTCATTTGATCTCCAAGTCATATTTTTAGATTTTTCGTAGTTTTCCAACTTTCACGCTCTAATCACCAATAATTATCAGTGCAACTTGATTGCAGCTTTGACCAATTTGAGAATGCAGAGCTTGGTAGAATTCTCATTGTTTTCTTCATCTTTTGTAATAGAAGTTGTTGTATAAATTTGAATGATGGTCATATTAACTGATCTCCTCTGTAAACATATGAATACTATCCTATCACTGACAGAGTTGTACTTTAGAACAGGTCTGAAAATGTTCTTTTGTCACTGAATGCAATATTGTCCTTCATTTAGTCAAACCCAGCTGATTCACAGTGGCCAACCCCAGTCTGTTTCAGCTCACTAGTGCTCAAGATATTGATCTTAAAGTGTTGCATTTAATTTTTGACAATTCCCAATATTTCATAGATTTGTACGTCATATATTTACACTTTTATTATTAATGGGTGTTTAATATGTTTCTCCTTATTTTGAGTCTTGCCATATTAACAAATGAATGTCTTCGAAACTTTATATACCCCGTTAGGTAGTCTTCATTTTGAGATCACTCCTCTTCAGTCCTATTTTGAATTCCTTCCAACCTGAGGTGCTCATAGTTTGGTTTATCAAACTGTATTCCACTAGTAATCACATACTCATAAGGTTTTCACCAATTTTGGATCTTTTTTTAGAATTATACCCACTCCTCGTATATTGACATGGCTGAGTTTCTAAGGCCAGATTGTGATGTGTAATCATCATTCTGTAGAAGTCACTGGCCCTGCCCTCCGTTTGGTGCCCATATTCACACATCTCCGCCTCATTCCAAGATGCATGTGGCATAACCTCTCCCAATCTCCCACTTTGTCTTCCTCACCACCATGGAGCCCATGGAGGCTGAGATGAGGGTGAATGGTGGTCAGGTGTTACCCACACCTCTGGATGTCTACCCTCAGTGAGGACAGTGAGGACCCCACTCTGCCTTTCTCAGCACTGAAGCCCTGTGCTGCGCCTTTCCCCCTTCCCACATACCTCTGACCACATAGCACTTTCTAGCCTTTGACAAACTTTACTTCCCACCAGGGACATTATCCTTTTGTGATCTGCCTGAAACATCATGATGCATTCGTGGTCAGTGTGAAACACTGTGGGCAGATGGAAAAAAGAATCATGTGGCCAGTCGGCCACTGCCCCTTGTTTGGCTCAGTCATCACTGTATCCTCCAGTGTATCCTCCAGGTTGACCCAGGGAGAAGGGCATCATCTGCCCAGCTGCAGCCTGGATTGAATCCGGATCATCATAGTTGCTGCTTGTGAGGTTTTTTTCAAAATTATTGTAAATACAAAATGTTGATTAATGTGTCAGTCAATAAGTGAGGAGTAGGTGTAATCACCAGCATCTTCCTTTTAGTCTGTCTTAGTCTGGGAGTTCTGCCAAAACCAGTTCACCATGAGTGACCAGACTAATAGTTTAACTAATGATGTCAACAACAGTAAGACACAAGCCCCTATTATACGGTGAACTGATGGATGAGTGGTGGAGAAGTGTATTCAGCAATTATGGGAGCTTTTATTATGAGCATTCCTGGTGGCAGTGTGGGCAGGTGAAATCAAGACAGTAAGTGAGGAACATTCGTGACTGTAGAAAAAGGATAACTACCAGCAGCTACGCAGGAGAAAGATGGGCAATCTCCTCACAGGGGATTTAGAAATTCCCCAGTACCTGCTGGCGTATTAGCTGGGAGTTGATCTTGACCCTATGGTGATGAGTTTGAGAGTTGTTTAAAAGAGTTTTGGGAACACATGCATTTAGCATACATGTGTTATTGAAATAAGAATTCTGTATCAGATTGGATCTGTTTGCGGTGTAAGAATATAACAATGTTTCATTTGAGCATCATTTTTAGTCTTATTTTGCATACTATTTTTCTTTTAATTAATACTTCAGAAAGCTTGCCAACTCGTATTTAAATTTTAACTAATTATTTTTCCATTTATAATTTTATTATGTAAGCTATTAAGGAACTATCACTCATTGAATTAGCATACTGTACTTGGTTTTTCTTTCTTGTAGAGTTGATGCAGTGCTATTATCAGTTTACTCCTTTACTCCTCAATTTTAGGTAAAATACTTGCCTCGTTGCAGGGATAAAATGGAAAACAAAGCAAAGCAAAATAAAGCCCGCACCACACTTATTGAATATTATATTTTAAAAGCTACATACAGTGGAGGATGGAGGCAGTATAGTGTGTAGAAAGGTGCTCTGTGAATGCAAAGGCAGTGCCTCTCTGGGGGTTTGAATCCACTAGTGGCTCCAAGGGAGGAAGACAGACAATGTGCGGCATAATGGAAGGTCAGGTATGCGTCCGTGCTGACTGGATGGCAGTGAGATGTTGCAAGCTAGATCTGTTGCTCCGAGGGTCCCTGTGAGTCATAGCCAACTTTACCGCACCTGACAACAACAGTTGCATGGCTGGATGAGCAGATGTTTAGGAAGGATTGAAATTGTTCATAATGAAAAGAAACATTCAAAATAGGAAATTTTAAGGTGCTGACCGAAAAGCAACATTTCTCTGATGGTTCAAATTCATGATCAACTCTCTGGGAGAAGGATGGACAATCTCTTGTCTTGTGATTCACAACCTTGGAAGCTCATTGGAGGGTCAACTATCATTTGACTCCAATTCATTGACAAATGAGTTGTTGACTTGTTTGTTTTTAAAAGAAAGCATAAACTGCCTGTTAAAATGAAAAGAGAAAGGAATAATTTGAGCTGATCGCTTCTAATATATTGAACTTTTACATGATTTTCTTTAAAACAACATAACTATTATTGCATTTCGCTCCTAATATATTGAACTTTTACATGATTTTCTTTAAAACAACATAACTATTATTGCATTTATTAAATTTATTTCAATGTTGATATTTCAGAAGGTTTTCAATAATAACAACAACAGTAATGGGCTATTTTCCTCACATTAGCTGTTGTTAGAAAAATAGGGGAACAGCCCATTATTATACTGATCATAGTACAAATTTTTATTAATGTCCATTTCTGGTTTTATGTTGAGTTGTTATTCTTATTAAATACCATCAAGTAGAATATGAC